TCTCATATCATTATATTTTTTAATAGTAAATTGGGATGCAAAGAAACTTCCTGCAGCTGGAACTCTGTGATGAAGAAAATCATTGGGATCCAGTGCCAGGAAGTTTTCATGACTGTGATTACAGCTTGTTGCTTGCAATACCCATATAACTTTCAGTGTCACAAGCACTTTTATTTATCCATTAAGCTTATTTTTTGGTAAATTAAAATTCTTGGTTATATTTTCCCATGACTATCTAGTAAGTACTGAGTTTCTTTTAGGGAGGCAGGGGGACAATATGTATTTTGAGCCAAAATACTATGGCACCTAAGAAAATAGGGTTTCTGTTCTTAATTGCCAGTTTTCTTTCTGTCTTTTATCATGTCTTCGTTTTTAAAAAAAATCAACAAGCCCATTGTGATGCTTTTGATTAGGCTTCAGCAGAGATAATAAAAGTGTAGTGTCCCTTTGTGAAAGGAGTTTTTAATTATTGTTAATTGTACTTGCCAGCTTCATTTCTGAAGGGAAACGGAGGTGACCTCATCCTGAAAGTTGTCAGTCTCATGCTGGTGTCATTCACCGCCTGGAAAAGAGGTTGGGGTTTTGTTCCTTGTTGCTTCTTTTAATGAGGAGCTGTCCACAGGCCTGATGGGCTCTGTGGCTTTGGGAATGCTGTCCAAACTCTGTTTCAGTAGCAGGCTTGTTCCTGAAATGTTAAGCTGAGTTGTATCCTAGGGCATCAGCAGAGTCTCAGACCTGTGATGTGCCCATTCCAGTAACATCTCTGGCAGCAGAGAGTACAAAATACTTCAGGGAGGTGATGGAGTCCTTGTAGAGGAAATTATTAAAGATTCAAAGGGTTATTTCTGCTCTTTCATACTAATCTAATAACCTTGGAGGTTTCCATTATCTACCCAGAGGTTTAATTTCTTAACCCTTCTCCAGTCTTGGCTTTGGCATATTCTTGTGAGGTCCCCAATTCACCTGTGCTTTGTATTTAAGCAGATGACAAGAAAGATTTCCTCACCCTTTGGACTGCAAAGTGTGCAGGGCAGTGGGGGTTATATATCTGGGGAGGTTCCAGGGTATCAGGATAAGTCATCATTCAGTTGTGGCCATGATGCAAATGCCAAAATATTTACAATCATTTCAGTTCATTGAGCATCTCCATATGTCAGGAGAAGGATGACAAGGATACATGTTTTTGTCTCCCTTCACTGTTCTGTATTTCTTAAGCTGTTACCTCGTTTCATCTTAAATGAACCTTCTCTAAAACACCCTGAACTTTTCAATTCCATTTCAGTTCACCCAGTGCCATCTGCCACGGTGTCTGCGATGTATTTCAGTCCTGACGAAATCCCCCTTCCTCAGCGGTACCTCCGCACGCTGTCGTAAGGATGATGTGACAAGCAGAGCTGGCAAGTTGTTCCCACCTTCGTTGCCAATTATAAAGCAGTGTAAAGAGGCAAATTCTGACAGCCTGTGTCCTTAGAGGTGTTTGAATACCAAACTCGTAGTGAAGTCATCAGCAGTGAGGCTCTTGAGCATCCCTGAGGCTCTGGGCTGGGCTCTCCACTCACCTTTTGCTCAGGTAGTCTTTCCCTGACATTCATCACTTCTTTGCCTGACTCAGATGTGTATTTAGAGCTGCTGATTATTCATTAGCATCAAAACATCTACTTGTAGATAGGGAGAGCACAGTTCCCTGTAAAGGGGAATAAGCTTTTAGCTGGTTTGTTTTCTAATCCTGGAGAAATCTGCGAGGTCAGTGAGCCTGGTGTGTGTAATGGATCTCCTCATGGCTGCCAAATTTGTTGGGGACTGTGGTCTGGAGCTCCCAGTTTTTCTCATTCCTTTGCTTTCTGCTGCTCATTAAAAGATCTAAAAAGAATTAAAATCTCAGTGACGTGAGATGTTCAGGCTGTCTGAAATGGTTTTCATTCTGCGGCTCCCGGATTTTGTTCAGGCAGAAGGAGATGAAGTTTTCCTGAAGCAAACCACATTTTTCAGTAAAAACACTGAACACTGAATTCAGGTCACCTCAGACTGACTCTGCTCAGTCCTTCCTTTGCTGTCTTAAAGTGAGGATTGCAAGAGCACCTTAAAGGATTGTTCTGAAAACTATAATAGTTAGCACTTCTGCAAGCCTGCCAAAATACATAGTAAATGCAAATATTTTTAAGCCTTTTCATCTCCCAGAGTTGTGTTGTTATCTTTTTCTATCCTGAACAGAAACACAGGAGGCTGAGATCTTGTCTCATTCTCACAAACCAATGCAGAAATTGCGGCCTTTCAAAATACTCCTTGAATCACTGCTCTGTATAGTTGTAGACTCCCAGGTTTCAAAATGGGATAAAGAACCTTTTCCCAGCAGGAGTAAGCACAACACAGCTCCTCTCCCATGCCAGGCAAGCTTTTCATGGTGTGTTTTGGGAGTACATTTTTCACATGGGCACAACTAGCTCTTGATTTAGAAAAAGCAAAATTAGTTGAAACTACTCAGGGGCACAAATAAATGACTGCAAGAATACCAGAGAATTGAGCAACAGGCAAAGGACATGTTGTTTCCTTTAAGAATTCTGACTAGAAATGACGTCACTTAGATAGTTTGGATGTTTGTGAGCACTACAGGACTTGGAAAGGGAAAGCAAATCGGAAAAACACTGGGAAGCTGAACAATTTGTTTTGTTTTATGACTCCCTGGTCGTTTAATGAGGGAGCTATTACTCATGCGCTGTCACTGCACATCTAGAAAATTCCTCTGGGTTTAAAAACTGGCAGGGAAAAGTAGTTTCCTAAAAAACACTGAATTAATGAGATAAAACCCATTGCTCAGGAGTCCCTAACAGGAAGGGTCGGAGGCGGAGCTGTGCAGGGCTCACGGTGTGTTGGAAATCTCCGCAGGGGATTTCAGAGAGCACATAGAGCTGGCAGGGATTCAGGGAAGTGATGCAGCAGATATGCTCAGCATCTGGCTTTTAGGGTACAGAACTATGGATTTGAGCAGATAAAAAAACCACAAATTTGATTGGGGCGTTGTAGCCAGTCCTTCCCCTGCATTCTTTGTGTCTGAAAATATCTAGGGCTGGGGTGTTTAAAGAAAGAGGTTTGTACCCATGGGCAATGATACAAAGTAATGTATTAATGATATTGACTCCTGAAGTGAGGGCTGTTATATTTAAGGAGAAGAAAATAAGTATTTGTGCTGTGGGCTTAATTATACAGCTTTAACTGAATTTTCATGGTTTCTTAATTTGTATTCCTATGGTCTGTCAGACTTCTGACTTCTTGCTTTGAGTCTGTGTTGCTTTATAGATCTGTATGGTATTTCTTAGTGCAATACAATGCATTTTACTTCAGTTATTTTAGCTGCTTTAGCCTACCTTGTCACATCCACACAGGATACACATTATCCTCACCTTAACTGGAAACCTGATACAGCTTTCATGGCCCTGAGGGCAGGATGAGGGTTGTTCTAGTTAGGTGTCGTAGAGAGCACAGTAACCAAAGTGCTGTTCCAGTCTGGAAATGCAAGGGAATATTCCTCACCAGCCCCCTGACACAATTATTCCCTCATAGCAGAAGTTACTGTAATTCCTTTTGCCAAAAAAATGCTGATAAAGCAGAGGCTGTTAGGAGGGAAATCCATAAGGAGTCTGGAAAGTGTGATGTAAGGGTTAGTAATAGAATTAGCAAGCTGCTGTAGCAGTTCTGCTACAGTTTGCCTTAAACTACAGCACCTCAAACATAATCATTGTCATTCCTTGTCTCACTGCAGTGCTGTGCTGTAGTCTGAATCAGTTTTGTCTTCTCTGTTACTGTCCTTTTAAGCACTTTCAAAATTCTTTCAATTATTCATTTTTCATCAAGATTATCACCAATTTTCCATGTAAATACAGAAGTAGTTCAGCAAGGGTTGTTAAGCTTTGCATCAAAATTAGCTGTGTCCCCCTGTACATGCACCATGTACCCTCTTCAGAAATATCCAGTACTGAGCTTTTAAAGCACACAGATGCCCAGTTTATTGTATCCATGCTGGATTTTTGCCCTTGGGTGTGGAACTCAACTGCCTGGGCCAGAATTAGGAAATAATTCGTACATGTAATGCAAAAAAAAGTCCTGGATCACAGGGCAGAGCTCCCTTCCCATTCCTGGGACAGAATGAGACCGAAAAGGCCGGGGGGACCCTTGAGGTGTTGAGAAGGTGGCAGGGGAATGGATGTCATGTAATTTTGGAATCAGAATAAGCACTGTAGAGAGAGACACTCCAGAGAGACCTTGTTTGTGACACATTAGACGGGGATTTGGGCATCAGTTCCTCTGAGGTTGTGTGGGCCTGGCAAGGAGCACAGGGAAGGTTTGGTGTGGCACAGCCTGTTGGGTACCAGGAGCCACACAAACGATGCAGAGATGTGTTCAGCCTCACACTTTGCATCTGTGCTGCTCCAGTTTTCCAGGGTGGTGGGAAGCTGAAGGCTGAACAGACACAGAAAGGGGCTCTCCTGCTTTTCAGGTGGTGCTTCAGTGTCCAGTGGAAGGTGATGACCATCAGGTCCTCTGTGCAGCCTTCTTCTAGAAAGGGCTCTGGTGTTGGCATGGATTTTGGTGGATTTCAGGCTCTTCCAGGGCACTTGGTGGTGTTCAGGCTGCCTTTTTATCGCAGAAAAGTCTAGGTGAGAAGCAGGTTCCCTCCCGCCAGCTGGGACACCTTTGGCTGTGGTACAGCACATGCTGATGCCCCAGCAGCTACTGAGTAGAAAGTTCTATCACTCCAGAGTCTAGGCACCTCAATCCTGCCAAAATCCAGGCAGAACTGAGGCAGGCCACGTGGCTGATGCCTGCAGACTCCCAGTCTCATGGTAGGGGACACTGTGGGCAGTCATGAGTCCCTGCCTGGTGCTGCATCACCCATGAAACAGGACTGGCCTTCCCAGAGCTCCAGCCCTGTGTGTGTTGCGCTAACACAAGAAAAATTTTATGGCTTGTTACTGAAACCTAACTTAATTTTCCTGTTAATGAAGCTGTAATTGCAGTCCATTACTGTGATCATGGTTCAGCTGATTGCTCCTTGGCCGAGGGTGCATCCGGCGCTGTTTTCCCTCCGTGCTGGAAGGGTTGATGAGTGTGAGAGGCAGACCCCACCTGACTGGGGTCGCTCTTGCTTTACACGTGGCCTTTGGAGTGCAGGTATGTTCAAGGGACTGTCAGGTTTTATATTTAAAGACTTTCCTCTTGTGTTTTTTTTTCTAAAGCTTTACTCTGTCAAGTCCTGTGCAGCTGGCGTTACGCAGCACATACTTTATTATCCCAGTCATCACTTCAACCATTTAATCCTTTTAACCTTCACAGTGACTACAGTAGGAATTACGGGGAGTGAATTTCCTCTTGAGTGAATTTCCTTGGCCACTGTTAAAACCACAAAGAAATCCAAAGTAGTTCCATGAAAAAAGGGATCTCTTGATGGGACTGTTTGCGAAGGACTGGAAGGGGTGAGAGAAATGAGAAGTCAGTCTAACTGCAGGGAAATGGCTGTGGGGACACCACCGTGGGCTGGCAGCTGCCACATTCCTGCACCCAACTTCCCAGACCTGTTCCAACCACAGAAAAGTTAATTCAGAACAGTCAGCCCTGCTGGGCAGGGAAAAGACCTTGCTGCCAATTGCTGTTTGTGTTGTACATTATCTCCATAGGTTTTGCATCTGTCTTTCCTGCAGTTCTATTTTCTGCCTTCAAAATTCCCTTTTTCTCATTGTGTCTAGTAATTGAATTTGCAAAATATTAAAAAGTGACATTAGGATGTGCCTGTTAACAGAGGAGAATAAATTAATTACATGCTGTGAACTAACTGAACTCATTTAGTAATTGATGAATTAACTTACGTCTACAAACAGGAGAACTTGAATGCTGGCAGAATAAACAGTGAAATCTCTCACTGACTGAATCACTAGAGGTTTTTTTAGGTTTCTTTTTCCTTAGTTTAGTAACGGCCACGTTTTTAGAATTAGGAAGTTACACCATTTATAGTTTAGAGTTATACCATTTATAGTTGTACCATTTATAGTCATTTGCAATTTAGGGTTCACCTCTGTGATTCCATCCTACACCACTTCCAGAACTGACATCTGCCTCTTGAATTCATTGGAAGCTTTGACGTTTCCAGTTGCTTTTTCTTAACCAAATATTAACACTTGTTCTTCATACTTCCTTTTTTACACTGGTCAAAGCTTCAACAGCATCAATCATGCTTCCATTTGAGATTCCATCCTGACTGGATAATCATGATTCTGGGGGTTTTGTGGTCTTTCTTAATCATATTTTTAATGTGCACAGTGGTGTTATGTTCTCTGTGTGCACATTCTGCATCTTCTCTCTTCCCAGATTTCCACTGCAGTAATGGATTTGATTATTCTGTCTCTCTCTCTCTCTCTGTAGTCAAGTTCCAGACCTGCACCTGTGTGCATCATTTTGTTTTCCTTCCAGGATGTTTGTGTGGCTTGTACACGTGGATTGATAGCAATCTGCTGCAGCTCAGTTCTGTGTCAACAGAAAGGAGCTTTCTCCCATGCCAACCCTCTGTAAATGCCACAAAAACTCCTTTGTGTTTAAGCCTCTGTTTTAAAACTTTATCTTCCTATGATGGCTACAGTAGAAAGGCTGTTAATCTGCCTTTATATCAGGTTTTATTGTCTTATTATTCCTTATCCTTTCTCTTTTTTTTATGTCTCTCTTTCTTGCCTCAGGCAGTAAACTAGAAAACCAAGCTCATTTTATTCTGTTTTATGTGAAGCTTCTACATCAGTGTGTCTTGATCTCTGTCCTGCTACAGAGTTTCCTTCCTTGGATATCACTGGGAAGGTAAACACCTACTGCATAAACTGAGTTTCTCAGGTCCCAGAGAAAATCAGAATTTCATCCATCCTTTAATGCTCCATTTATGAGATGCTGACCTTGTTTGCAGCTTCAAAAGGTGGAGCCAGTTGTGGGGAGGAGACTAAAAAATCAGGAGTAATTTGGATGTACGTTATGTTTTCTGATGGACAGGGACATATTTTTCTAGTGCAACTAGAGTTGTTTAATGGATGTTGTAGATCAAAGCAAAAACAAATTTATTTTCAGAATCCAACAGCCCCTTTTCCCATCCCTTGCCTGTGTTCAATACATGGAGCATTATGTTGTCCTCTAATTAGCTCTGTAATTTCCATGCTGTGTGCCAGCATCAGTGTTTATTATTGAAGCACAATGTCTGCTTTTATCCTCATGATGTGACTGTCCTGTCACAGAAGTCACATGCACAAACTGAGTAGTAAAAGGGGTTCAGGGGTAAGGATCAGTAAATATTCTAAGCTCTGCATGGTTGTGCAGATGTAATTGATGGCAGCACTGCCAGATGCTCACCAGTTGATCCAGATGATCCTTGCTCTGCGTGCAGTGGAGATCCCTCTCATCTCCTGGGTCTTCCAGTCCCTAGCATGGCTAACAAGGCATTGATCAGTCCCTAAAATCTTTATTTTTACCGTAACCATGTGATTTCCCTGCAACTCAGGAGGGGAAGCTGAAGTGGAAATGCAAACACGCATTTAAATAAACCATTTTATAAACTCCAGGTGCTGATCTCAAGAGGGCGTCTTGCATATGCCAGAGGAATATGTTGTTTGAGGGAAAAGCTGCTTATAAATCTGTGCAAATTGAGAGGTAAATAATTTCTGTTTCCAGTACACTGATGGAGTAAGATCTCTGCACTGGTTATTTTTCCTGCTGTGAAGTATGTAGTTTATAAATGTATCTGGCATATGTATTTGTCACTGTGCAGCAGCAGAATGTAGGAAGTGAATATCTGTAAAAAAATACTCATTTCTGCTTCGTAGAATCACAGAATGGTTTGGGTTGGAAGGGATCTTCAAGACCATCTAGTTCCAACCCTCTGCCATGGGAAGGGACACCTTTCACTATCCCAGGTTGCTCATTGCCTCCTCTGGCTTCTTTGCTTCTTCAGCATAACAAGGAAGGGTTCTAAAGTGCTTTGTTTCACTCTGAAAATATTCCTGGCATGGGTTTCAGGGTTTTTTTGCAGTGTCATATGTTATGGGAGGAGTACAGAATATTTGTCTTTCACTGAGAGGTCCTCTGCAGTGTGTTCCTGAGGCGTGGGAATTAAGCTGAGGTTAAAACTTGAAGTGGTCTGATTGAACTTCCTATCTTTCTTAATTGTTATCTTCTTTCTGTGTGATAATTTTAATTTCGCTTCCTCTTGGGTAATCGTGGAGTAGTCTGAGTTTGTGTTATATCAGACAAAAGAAACACAGACTAATAAAAGGTTTTGTGCTGTTTACTGTTATTTTTTTAAAGATACAGACCAGCAGTTCCTTCCAGGTCACTTTGCATGCTTTGACAGACAAAGTGCCACGCTGATGTGTGGAGCAGCACAAATTAATCCAGTGCTGGAGATAAGCAGAGGGGCAGCAGCGCCTGCTTTTGAGAGCTCACTTTGCAGGGACAGAAGTGGCTGTGATCCAGCTCATGGCACGAGGATACAAACAGCAGGTGTAGCTTTGGAGTGCTTCATGACAGGGGCACTTCTGCTCAGGGCTGGGATTAGAGCTTCTATTGAAACTTATATAACAGCCACGGTGCCAGGGTGGTTGCTAAAAATGATGCTGATCACTCTTACGTCCCAAAAGCTATAAGTCAGAAGAGTTATTTTAAGCTGAAGAAATATTTGGGGTTTTTTTAATTCTTAATGGCCATTGTTTTTCTCCCAGACCCCACTGAGATGGTTTTAAATGTGTCAGGCAGCGGTGGCAATGAAAATAAGTGTTTTTATAATGTAAGACATGGACAATCAGCTGTGAGTTTTGTTGTGGGTGGCTGCTTCATTATCATATCCTCATTAACATACCTCAGCAATCAACAGGGAATTACGTTTTTTATTATTGCTGTCCTGTCCAATTTCTAAAATACAGCATCAGCTGCTTTTATCCGGCAAATGGTGGTCCATTTTGGGGAAAAATCCTACTATTTTCCTGCCTCTGCTGCCCCAAAGGTTGGTGTTCTGCAGAAGGAGCAGTCAGCTGCTATGGTGATGGGCACAGGGTGGGAATGTGGACAGAAATAGAGGGAGGCTGAAGCCAGACTGTTCCTTCTTCCTTATGGTTTCAGTAGCCCTCTCTGAATTGGATGGAGACTGATTCCAAGGATTTCGCAGGTTATTTGTGGTTTTCTGCCTCAGATTCTCACAATTAGCACAAAATAATACTTAGGAGAAAAAAAAAAAAAAAAAAAGAGAGATTCTGAAATGGATAATGTTTGTACAGGATGTATGTAATTCCCTGCAGAGCAGCTTGTGCCCGTTGTGCTGGGATTTGGATGCACAGAAATCTCCCTCCTCCCATCCAGACTGAAGTCAGTTTTTGGTAATGCATAATTCATATCCTGAAGCCTTTGTCACAAAAACATCTTACTGCCTTTCCCCCAGCTTGATAAGCCTGCTTTTGTATTTTTAGGATTTCTTTCCCGGCTAATCCCCAAAATCAGCCTGATGAGGTTTCAAAACAGAGCCCAGAGTAAATCTGAGACAACTTTTACATCAAGAATGTTGCTTTGTGCAGCAGGTGATTCTCTGGCACCTGCTATTTATGGATTTTACCTCCACAAAGAATTACTTCCCTGCAGCACCACTGCCACAGTCAGTGCACAAGTGGACTGCAGCTCAAGGGATTCCACCAGGAGGTTTGGATGTATTTTGGATACATCTCACAAGCAGTGCCTACACACACACATTTTGTTGTGAAACAAAGACAGCAATTTTTTTTCTTTTTTTGGTGAATTTTTGGTGAGCTCTAATCCAAAATTACTCTTTCCATGGGGAACATGATGCCTGTATTTAGTGATGGGCTAGTGACACACCTCGATTGCCTGTTCTGACTGTCAGTGCACTCAAACAAGTACAGATTGTCAGGAGTCATAACGTGGTTAAAAAGTCTGTGTAAAACCTGCAGGAAAAGAAAAATTCTTCTCAAGTTGTGTTTTAATTCATCTCTTTGCAGAACAACACAATTCAAACAACTTCTGGTGTTTTCTTCTTCCAGATTCTGAGGACAAACCTGTCAGTAATGAATTGTTCCAGAAGTACACAGAGAAAGCTCTACATGGTAGAGGCTGTGTTTTCTCAGGTACAGCACATCTTGTCCCTCCTTGGTATGAGTTATTGCAAATCAGGCCTTTCCTGCTCAAAGCTTTGAGGAGCTTTGAAAGTACAGAGATAAATGCATTACGTGCCTGCATAATGGGTAAATTGGATGTTTCACTGGTGGGAAATAATTGCCTTCATTTGGGGGCTCTTTGCCTGTTCCAGAGGATTGTTCCCCAGATCTCTTCACTTCATAGCACTTCTCAGTGCAGCTAAACAAAGCACAGGAAGGAATGTAAAGTACTTTTATCAGTGTAGGAATCCTGTTCAGTAATGGTTTGTCATTATTTTCCTCCCAAATGATCCAATTGTTTTTTTTTTCTTGCTGTTTATATCAAGCCACCACAGACCTTCTGATGATGTTAAATTCCAGCTGTGGAGGCTTTGATTGTTTCTTGCACGTTGCTCATTTTAAGATGACAGAATTGTTCAGTGAGAGGAATTCAAATGGAAAAATTGAGGCAGACAGGCCTGTGGGGAAGGTTGAGCCCTGTGTAAAAATCCAGTAAAACTTGAGTAAGAACCTCAGAGTTCAGTGTATTGATTTTCTTGTGAAAGTTCAAGAACTGTGTTTCCTTGCAGGCTGAAACTCATCTCAGCTCCTCATGACCAGCTGAGCAAGAGAGATGGGATTTGATGCTATCCAAGGTGTAATTCCACAGTTCATGTCTTCTGCTAGTGCCAGCTTAATCAGTTTCTGCCCACTCCCAGCCATTCATTTCCAGCTCAGCAGCAATGCAGTGCCACCTCTTCCCTGACCGTGTGGAAAACCAGATGACTGAAAATAACTTGGTCGAGGAAAGAAATGCTTCATTTTTTCCCTTTGTATTAGAATAATTTGAATTAATTTCGTGGCCCACAGGCAGTCGTATTGGTACTGCTGAAGGTGACAAGAAATGCAGCATGAGAAGCAGCAGTGAGCACTGGAGGGTGTCCCAGTGCTGTGTGATCTTGCTGTCAACAAAAATCTGCTCTGGGACCATATCCTGAATGAAGGGCTTTCACTAGCCACAGGATTATTTATTGAACTGCTGCTTTTCATTTATTTTATTAAGGAAGATTAACATCTTGTTGGGGCAGGTTTGTTTTTTTTTTTACTTGAGGAGATAAACCATCTCTGTGAGAAGTCAGTCAGCTTTGTGGACAGCCATGAATGTCAATAAAGTCTTGGCAAACACAGTAGGTATTTATTCAGCATTGCAAATTAAAAACATTTTTCCTGCTTGTTTAGTGAAGGGAACAAAAAAAAGACAAATTACAGAGCGGATGAGCTCTCTTGATAGTTGGAATTCATTAAGCTGGTGGTGAAAACGCTGGGGGATTGATGGTGCAGAAAAAGAAAAGATGAAGCAGCTTCTCCCCAATAGCTATGGCTTAAGTTCAAGTTGAAAATGACCAAAAAAAAAATCCCTTGAAGACATCTGTAACTGACTTCACAATCCCAGTTTCTGTCTGGGTAGACAGTTCTTTCTCACTGCAGTTAGTATTAATTGGTTTTTCAGTTGACAGATAATTTCTCAGTGGCTCCTCCATCTCCATCATGCCACGGGGTGTCTGCAGCAGCTCATAAATGAGATCCATGGCCAGACGTTAAGTGGGAAGTTCACACAGTCCCTTCCCATGGTACAGACAGAACCTTTCTGCAGACTTGTCACTCTGTCATCCTCCCTCAGCTCCACATTTTATTATTAAAATTAAAAAAAAAAAAAGGATTTAAAAAGTTGCAGTAAGTTGAGCAGTTAGTCAGATGTTCTCACAGGCCATTGTCTGCAGATTCTGGCTCTGCCTTTCAGATGGGTCGTAAAGCTGTCGTGAGTGCAGCTCTAACAAAATCCATTTACACAGCTCCTGTTATGGCAGGGCATGGAAAGGAAGCAGTAGGACTTAGTTTTTAATGAATTTCCTGTACAGAATCATCAGTCCACCATGGAAGTCTTTCCAAGTCGCACCCAGTGCATGCTCTGTGTGATTATCCCTGATGAATGGGATGGAGTTCCCACAGTTGACACTCGGAGTCACAGACAGTTCTCATGTCATTCCAAGTGCAGGAATGCTGCTCTTCATCATTAGAAGAGAGAGGGTTCCCCAGTAAGTGTTTAAATGCAGCTAAACCACCTGTAAATCACTAGAATTATTCAGCAGCAAAACAAAGCCTTTGTAAACTTCATTCTTGCAGTGCTTTAATTGCAGACAAAACTTTACTCATTCAAGTGATCCCATCAATGTCAAATAAAAACATGAATTATGAAGCTTGTAAGATTAGAGCTTAAAGTCACTGACATGTCATTCCCATAATTTTCTCTGGAGGATTGCAGAACACTTAATTTGTAACTGCAGAAACCAAAGTCTAATCAGATGTTCTTCCATCTGCAGTTTTTTATCTAAGTCATTGAACTCTGGGTTTGTTCTTTCCTGTTGCCCAGGTTCTTACTTGTAAATGTGAAGACACTAACTGCTCTGTTTTTCTTCTTCCCAGTTCAACAAGAAAATTGCCCTCAAATCTTCGATCATTAAATCTGTGAAGGATGGAGCAGCCCAAGATTTGAAAATGTTTTAAAACTTCCAGCACCTAATTAGAAGGAGGCATCTTGGAGCAGCACAATAGCTCTCTATCTGCAGTTCATTTGGTTTTCCAATTTAGAAATGACAGTTTACAGCCCTGGTGTGAGCGTGTTTCTCATTAGCCTGTTCTAGGAACACGCAGAGTTATTACAAGTTTTGAAAGATGCTTTCTTCAAAAGTGCAAATGATACTAAACTGCGGAATTTTCTCTCTGGATAGCCACATGGAGAAGCTGTGGCCTGCAACCATCCCAAAGCTGGTGGTAAAGGCAGAGCCAGCAGCTGGACCTCAGCTTCAAATCCGTGGATGTCGTGGATGCAACTGGATGGAAAAGATGCTGCAGCAGGAATTAGCCTTGTCCAGGGGAGACAGTTGTGATTTGTCCATGCTTTCCTTGTTTCACAGATGGATCTCGGGTTTCTTGGGCTTTTCCCATGAAGATTTTCTTGGAGAGGAGTATGTTAGCTGTGCTGCTGACAGATATCCTCGTGAGAACTGTCCACACTGGCTTGATTTTCCCTCTTCAGGAGTTGGATTCCTGGTCAGAGCTGGTTGGGTTTGTTGTCCTTGGGGTAAATGAAGACAGAGCTGTGTGTCAGCAGGTGATGAAACTTGAGGAACAGGTGTAATTATTTTTTTTACGTGGCTTTCTGCCCCCTGAAGAGGAGATGGAGAATATTTGCCTCAGGACTCAACAGATGGATTCATCTTGCATGGTGGTTTAGGGTCTGGAAAGTCAGTTCTACAAGGACTGGCTGAGGGTTGAAAAGGAGACTCAGGGAAGACCTTATTTACCTGAAGACCAACATTTCACTGGGAGAAGGTGCTGGTGAGATGGGAGTCAGCCTCTTCTCCCAGATAATAAGTGACAGGACAGTGGCAAACAGCCTCAAGTTTCACCAGCAGAGGTTCAGGTTGGGCATTAGGAAAAATTTCTTCATTGAAAAGAGTGGTTAAGCATTGAAACAGGCTGAGGGCAGTGGTGGAGTCACCATCCCTGGAAGAGTTCAAAAAACAAGTGGACCTGGCACTTCATTATAGGGTTCAATGAGCATGTGGTGATATTAAATCAAAGATTGGACTCAATAATCTTGGAGGTCTTCTCCAACCTCAGTGGTTCTGTGGTTCTAGTCAACTAAAATCAGCTTTCACAGGGCTTCCAGAGGCAGGTATGGAGCATACCCAGGTGTAACGAACTGCAGGAGGGAAGAAAATACAGATGCTTCATTCTTCTTGAAAACACTGCAGAAAGGCAAAATTCTGGACTTCTGCATGGCTGAAGGAAAAAGAGTTTGATTCTGCCTGCGTTCTAAAGCAACTTTATTTTACCCATTAGTGTTTTGTGAGCCTGTGTGGAAGATTCCCAGGCAGCTGCATGCTCGGGGCAGAGCCCAGGGACACGGGCACAGCTCCGTCCTGCTGCTTCCTGCCTGCCCTGCTCCACACAGGCACTTTCTGGACAGAAAGGCTGCACAATAAATCCAGTGCTGATGTGGCCTGGCGTGGTGACAGCTCTTCCAGTAACTGCAGGAACTGCCTGCTTGCAGAGGCCCAGCCTGCTCCGATGGGTTGTTTTTCTTAGAGCTGTTGTTCTGCACCAGATGGGGCACACGGTGTCTTTGTGCCTCCCTCTGCCATGCAGACACTTTGTGGTGCCTTCTGTGCCGCTGCCCGGGGTGGTTTGTTCCTTTCTGAGAGGCTGTGATGGACCTGAGTGCTTCCCAGAAGATGTCACTGAGAGCAGGGCTGTGCAAACGCTCCAGACTTGCTCGATCTGCAGATGTGCTTCAGGTCTGATGTTTGTTCTGCCAGCTGAGATGGGGGGCTGCAGGGAGGTTTTGAAAAAAGGAAAAAAAAAAAAGTGTTTGAAAGGGAGTAAATTGTCTAGAACACACTTCACTAGCAGATTTCCAGGAAACAGCCCTCTGTCAGACTTCTTAGAAGCTGTGCTGGCTCCAGGTGCTAAGTGCCAGGTCTGAATAGCCCGTAATCAACTCAGTCCTTAACGTTAGGTTTGGAGACACACTTTTCCCCTAATTTGCAAATCCCACCTCAGCCAGAGCTAGCTGACAGGTGGGCAGATTTCCAGGCTCTCTGCACCACCTTTGGGATGAATATTCAGCCTTTAGGCACTGATGTGCAGCTTCTGTCACACGCTGGTCTCGGTGCTGCTGCTGCTGAAATGAAGATTTGGTAACATCTTACGTGTTTTGCTGTCACAAGAGGGAGTTTTGCAGCAGTGCTGCCCTTGCTGGTGTGTCTGGATGTAGTCTTGCTGTGGGCAGAGCTCAGCAGACAGAATCTGTTAATAGAAGACAGCAGCACAAGCAGGATGAAGGTCCTTCATTCCTTGTTAAAGCCTTGTACATGTTGTTCAAGCTTGACTAACAAAATTCCTCTGAGTGACACTGCTGCAAGCAATTCTCTTGCTGTTGGTAGCGCTGTAATAGAAAACAGAAGTGAGCATTTGAGTGACTCAAACCAGAGTCAAGGGTAAGAATAAGAAAAAAGCATCAACTGTTTAACAGGAAAAATAAAAACCCGACGTGGCTAGGTATTCTTTTGTGGCATTTCCAATTTATTGTTACAGGAATATCCTCCCAGCTAGACTCAAGCTCCCTCAGGAAGCTGGTTTCATATGGTGGTTTAGATTTAACTATTCATTGTCTAGCACCATTTGAAATCAGTGTTCTTGGAGGAAGAATGCCTACCTTCATCAGGGAAAAGGACCCTCAGGAGCCTCAGAGGAAAAGAAGAGAAAGTCAAGATCTTCCTTGTGTGGTTCTGCCATTCCAGTTAACCTCCAGCACTGAGACTCCAGGGGTCTGTGACCCAGGTGACCCCTGGGAGAGCAATGGCACAGGTTGATTTCAAAGGCAGAAATTCTGCTGTCATCATGTTCATAATATTTGTGATTAGTGAGCAATAACTTCAGAACCCAAGAAGATTTTGAGACAGAAAACTAGGCAAAAAAGTAAAATCCAGAACTGTAACTCAGAATTGAAGCTGTTGATTTTAATCAAATAATAATAAATTACTTGATTAATAAAAAATACTAATAAAAACTACTATAACTAGTTCATACAACATGGTGAGGAATAAGGAGGGAACTACATGTGCTCTAAATTCTTAACTCAAAACCTATTTTCAGCCTTACCTAGATCTGTTTTTCTTACCACTTCATCACACTTGTAAATACTTTGTACATGTATCACACAAGACAGACAATCGAATTTGAACCTGTTAGTTCTGCATTGAAGCACTGGGAGTTCTGGATGCTGTTTGCATCCCTCCTGTGTGTTTGGCTTTTTGTTGTGGCACGTTTGGCAGATCAGAATGTGTTACTTATTTTGTGTGACAAGACCTGCCAGCGTGCAGGGTGGTGGTTGGATGTGCTCATGGAAATGGCCAGCAACTGAGAATTAGACCACAGGTGGTTGGTGGCATTGTCCAAGTCACTGCTGAAATCTGGAGAAGATTTCAAGATTATATTTTTTGAAGTATTTCACTGTATTAAAAAATGTGTGTACCTGTTGGTTGATGTTGAAAATTTTCGCTGTCTAAACCTCTGTTTTCTCCCCAGTGCTTTAATAAGAATTTTATCAAGTATTTGGGGATTCTCCAATGTGAAATGCTGTCCAGCACATGACTCTTCATCCTTGCAGATCTCCATAACCCCTTTAGAGGATGACTGATTTCTTTTGGTGTTCAGAGTCAATAATAATTTCTAGCACCATTTGAAATCGGTTATAGTGATTGGGGAATTGCACCTCGTGAATTTTTACAGAAGAGGCTCCGGAGAGAAGCTTTAATGGTATGGAAAAAGGGAAGTGTGTTATTTTAGTGAATGGAATTGCAGAAATGCTACGAGTTTAAACTCTGGGAGGTGGAGAAGTGTAAAAATGTATAACCCAAGATCTTGGTTTAGGTCCTGCGTGTGAAGATGATCCTTGGAATGGTTTGGAAAACCTTACGGTGCTGAGAGGGAAGATCAAGGGAGATGGTTTTCCCAGTGGGAATTACCAGTGTGGACTTTGGCTCGAAGAAGAAGAACCCCACCCTGTTGGCTTAATGATCTGTCTGTGAGGTATGAGGAAATAAAAGGAGCATCAGGAAGCCTTCCAATCTGCAGCTCCCATACTCTGGACATGCTGAAAGCAAGATCTCATGGAGGTTTTCCCTGCCAGCCTGAGAGCTTCTTCCATTCTCCTCTCGTAGACTCCTTACAGAGTAAGCCATAAACAACTTGAGTCACCTCTCCAAGGGTGTTCAATATATATGAATTCCTCTGAAATTTCAGTTGTTCAGAGACACAGCTGGTTGGAGGCAGAGTCAGAGGTGGGTCCTGTCCCCTGTTCCAGCAGGATCTAATTATCCATGAAAACAATCTCTGAAAGTCATCCTTCAGTCAGCTGATCCTTTTACATCCAGCTTTTTTGGGAGTTGATAATACCAGCCAACCTACAGCAGCACATCACACACCAACCTGCAGCAAGCCATCCCTGTAGCAGGGGATGTTTTCCTGGATATCCTGGTGAGTGCAGCAATGTACTGCTTTTCCCACTACTCCATACGGGGTAACTAAGAAAAAGGGGTTCTGTAAACAAGTGGAGCAACTTAGGAATATTCAGACGAATTTCTAAGGTTGTGGCTAGTTGTTGGATGCAAATCTACCTTCCTTTTATCCCCTCCAGATTTTTTTTTATGTATATGAAAATATATTGAAAGTATATTGAAAGCTGGAGAAGGAATTTTGGCAAGGAAATGGAGTGACAGGACAAGGGGGAATGGCTTCAAACAGAGAGCAGGGTTAGATTAGATAATTAGGAGGACATTTTTCCCTGTGGTGTTGGTGAGGCCCTGGCACAGGCTGCCCAGAGAAGCTGTGGCTGCCCTTTGATCCCTGGAAGTGCCCAAGGCCAGGTTGGATGGGGCTTGGAACAACCCGGGATAGTGGAAGGTATCCCTGCCCATGCCATTGGTGAGGCCCTGGCACAGGCTGCCCAGAGAAGCTGTGGCTGCCCTTTGGTCCCTGGAAGTGCCCAAGGCCAGGTTGGATGGGGCTTGGAACAACCCGGGATAGTGGAAGGTGCCCCTGCCCATGCCACGGTGGGTTGGAATGAGATGGTCTTTATTTCTAAATAGGATAATCACAAACCAAAAGGGACTTTTGTGACCTCTTTCAAGTCTTCTTCTTCCCATCCATTCATGACATTCACCCTCATGCTCTGTCTCTTCTCAGACAGAGCTTTGAGAAGTGGTGAGTACTGTGTTCAGTACCAAGGACTGTAGGTTAAGCCCTTAAATTAATGGAACAAATTACTGAAATATGGAAAATACAGACTGGCTAGCAGCATGGGTGGTTTGCAGCATGGTGCAGAGCTCTACATGTTTCAGGGGGTTTGACAGATGTTCTTGTGCAGGTTAAAAGCTGTGCAGATTTAAGTGGTGTTGGAAGCGTGACTTGAAAGTAATCACCGTGTTTTAAGTACATCCACTGCCTAAATAGCTCCCATGCAGACAGTTGCTTAAATGATTTCTTGTGGGAAGTCCTTGAGGGAGCAGATGGATCTGTTTGGATTTTGCTGCTTGTGCTGTGCGTGTAGGATTGAAATGTCAGGACTTCAAGGGAACTTGTTAGCACAAAAACTAATCTTAAGGTTCAAACCAGTTACAGAGTGGTGCAGAAACAGGTGAAGAAGGTTAATAACATTTTAATTCTTTCTGTTGAAAGGCAAGAGGTTCTTTGCACCCTATAGTCAAAAAAATGGAGCTGCCAAGTGCTTGGATCTTGTGAAAGTATTTTCAGTCGTGAGCACTGCTGGTGGTGTGCCTGTGTGCTCCCACACAGGATTGTGTCCTGCTCATGGTGGCTTCTTTACAGCAACAGGGGAAGAAAGGATGAAAAAAGGAAGAAAAATGCCTGATGAAAACAGAAGCATTTCAACATAAAATATATCTGAGGAAGAGGGAAGTGTACGTAACGAGTTGGTTGGGTTTTTTTTTTTTTTGGTTGGTTTTTTTTTTTTTTTTTTTTTTTTGGTGCAGAAACAGGTGAAGAAGGTTAATAACATTTTAATTCTTTCTGTTGAAAGGCAAGAGGTTCTTTGCACCCTATAGTCAAAAAAATGGAGCTGCCAAGTGCTTGGATCTTGTGAAAGTATTTTCAGTCGTGAGCACTGCTGGTGGTGTGCCTGTGTGCTCCCACACAGGATTGTGTCCTGCTCATGGTGGCTTCTTTACAGCAACAGGGGAAGAAAGGATGAAAAAAGGAAGAAAAATGCCTGATGAAAACAGAAGCATTTCAACATAAAATATATCTGAGGAAGAGGGAAGTGTATGTAACAAGTTGGTTTGGTTTTTTTTGGTTTTTTTTTTTTTTTGTTTGTTTTTTTTTGTTTGTTTTTTTTTAAATTTACCCAATTTAAAAAAAGTTGAGTTGCTCTCAACTCCTGGCCTTTTAAAAAAAGTGAAACTACTGGAAGACAGGTCTTCCCTGTCATACAGATTTGGGACTTTTGCAGTTTTGCAAAATGGTGCCTAAAAAACCTGCACCAGACTCAAAACAGCAGTCAGGTACCACAGTGGGTAACTTAAACTACTTGTTTGCAAATCTGCTCCATCCTCCCGTTGACAGACCCTGCAGCAGTCACAAAATGCAACGTGCAGGGGGATTGTTTCCATGGCCAGAAAAGTTTGTCCCGTTGCCAGTGTTCTGGAATGATGTTAAAATGAAATCAACACTTGGACTAAGCCAAAAGCAGCACTGGAAGTCAACTGCTTCTCCCAAAAAACCCTCTCACTTCTGGATTAATATAAAATGTGCTGGATGAGAGGGAGAGAAAGATGATGTCTGCTGGGAAATTTTTAATACAAAAATATTTCAGAAATGTCTGACAGTGTACACATTTTTTATTAATGAGTCCTGAAACCACTTCATTCTGCTACTTCAAACTGAAATTTCAATTGTTGTAATTAATTTGTCTGAAATTTTTGTGATCTTGCATCACAGTCTCTAAATGGTCAGGCTTCTGCATAAGGATGTTCTGTAAAATCCACTGTATATTGGGAATCTGAGGGGAAGATAAACTGATCATGTTGAGTACGGGCTTGGGGTGATAGTGAAAAACTGCTTTGTTTTCACAGCGAATAAATTGAGGGTCAGAACTATAATTTTCATTATAATTGATAAAATATTCAACATTAATTGATAAAATATGCAGGCATAGGATGCTTATGAAAGAGTGGAACAGTAAATGAAACAAAATTGTGATATCCTACAAGATGCTCCCTGATTCCTTCAAGCCAGTTTGAGACTTCCTAACCAAAAATATTTGGGACTTCTTAACCAAAAATTGTGTGGGGATCTGCTGTGTCCTCAGCACAGATTTCCAGTGGCAGAATGGGCAGCAGAGGAGGATAAATGCAGGAATTGTGGCTTTTACTGTAGGCTGGTCGAGTCCTGCTGGGACCTTTGCTAAGTATGAAACAGCAGAGGCTTGTGTTGGCAGAGCTCTGCTGTGCAGTAAAACAGGCTGTTAGAGCTCACAGCAGCGTAAAGGTGCCAGCAGAGCAAATTCTTCCTTGTTTGGGTAATCCTAATGAAAATAAGTGTTAGAATTTCTAACTATCTGGTGAATCAGATCCAGTGAGGGCAGTGAAGCCAACCTGGGTTAAGCTGCTTGCAAGAAAAGGGTGTCACTTTTCAGGTCCCACTAGGACAGCTCTGCTGTCCTGGTTTCTGACAATGGTCCCTCAAACTGCTGGGTTCTCTTCTCCAGGTGCTGCAGGTGCATCTCCTCTGGAAACATCCAGAACTTTGGGGTTTCAAGCAGAAAAGCTGGACCAGCTGTGTCCTCCACCTGCTGCTGAGCAAGAGGATGTTCAGTGGGTGCTGGTCAGTGTAATGGTTACAGACCCTGGGTCAGAAGATAGTCCCACTCAGCTCCTTGAAAAAATATTTTTCCTGATGTCATTCTCACTCTGTTGGGTCTCCAACAACTTTCCAACCACAGTCCATGGAGAGATGTGTGGCTGCCTACTCTGCTGCCTGGATTGCTGGATATTTAAGTCCTCTTATGTGCATTTTCTGACTGTGCTGCTTTCTCAGCATCATGTCTGTCTCCCCTAGAGGATTCTTCTCCGGAGAACCTGCCATAGAAGCAGATGATCTGTCTTCAGTCAATAAAACCATTTTCTCTGTGTCAAAGAAGTTTTTTAAAGCCCCCTTGGCAAAAAAAAAAAAAAGGAGAGGTGAGCCTTGGGATCGCAAAGATTTGAGTTCAGTATTTTGGTGCTAGTGAAAGTCACAGATGGTTTGGGTTGGAAGGCACCTTAAAGACCATCCAGTTCCATCCCCCTGCCATGGGCAAGAACACTTTCCACTGTCCCAGGTTGGACCAAGCCCTCTCCACCCTGGCCTTGGACGTTTCCAGGGATCCAGGAGCAGCCACAGCTTCTCTGGGTATCCTGTGCCAGGGCCTCCCCACCCTCACACGGAAGAATTATTCACATACTGTTGCAGAGAAAAGTTTTTTTGGTCTCTACTTTCCCAAAGCAATCAGTGTGTCAAGCCCTGTGTAACTCTGTCTGGATTCCAGCCTGGAAAGCCAGACACTGACCCTGATTTGGAGCAGCACAGCCTGGGATGAAGTGGCTGGGAAGGCATCAAAGGAGGAGCTGGCTGTGACAACAGTTCGCCAAGCAACACATGGCAGAGCATGGACATCAAGAGGAATATAAGGCAGCTCCTTTAACTTCATTGCTTCAAATATCATGACTGTCATTCTTCTATAACATTACTGCATAAAAACCCAGCGGGATTTATTTGTAATTGATGATTTTATGTGGAAGATACTCCAATGCCACCGTGCGGATTAAATCCCAGAACAGACTGACAGCTGTAAAATCCAAGAGCACAGGTGAGTGAGCTGGTCTGTTAGTGGCCTCCAGAGGACCACAAAGTGATTTTCTCAGTTGGATTTTGCCATGATTTAATCTTCAGTCTTGCCTGTCCTTACTGTGAAACAGACTGGGAAGAGAATGGCTTGATAGTTCCCCATATGGTTCATCATTACTAAAAATGCCATGAGGTGATGGGATTGCCTGCTGAAAGGTGCCAAAATCCTTATAAATCCAAACCTGCTCAGAAATCACCTCTGGGAAAACGTAAATTTCTCAGGAAATTCATGGGAATTATCATGGATTTCCAGGCTTCCAAATAAGTTGTCACGTAAAGATTCTCCACTATGTTTCCAGTGTGAGAACTGAAATCACAACTTGAAGGAAAGAGAAATTCAGTGCAAGTAAATTTTCAAGATTTCTGTATGCAAATCAAAATTCCAGTTGGAGAACTTTGGAGCGAAACAATGGTGTAAAAACCCCCACTTTTTAGTTGAGATTAGCCTGGAAATTTTAAGGCGCTCATGAATAATTTATAAACCAGTCTTCCCACGGATGAGCAGCAGGACGAGAGCGTGGCTACGTTTGTCACTGTATTGAGATGTTTCCTGGCAATGGTGGAATTTTTATGGTGTTCTTTCTCATAATGGAGTTGTTGCTTAGCTTTTAATGTCCCAAATGTAAACAGATCTGAGGAAGCAGATCGTTAAAAACGTTTAGAAAGGGCGAATGAAAAAGTGAAGTACTTGCGTGCCGCGTTCCAAGCAAAGCCTATAAATCACCGCCGTCGGAATTCTCTGACAAGGAGCAAATGGTTTTATGGACTCACAGAAATGGCATTGGGAGGAATAGTGAAAAGATTAATATTTTAAAATCATGGCAGAAGAGCAGAGGGAATAACCTGAGAGGGTTGAGAAGCTGTTCTGCGCTCTGGTTTAAATTTTAACACTTCGACTTAACAAATTCAAAATCTGATTCAAATCTGCTTTGCCATCTTCAGCTCCACTGTCTCTGAAGCCGTGGCACCAGTTGGCTTCACTGCCTGGTGCTCCTGCATTAGCCAGCCTGGGAATGCTTAAATCCACGCAGAGGTTTTATGTGTAGGAGCAGCTCAGGAAAAAAGGGTTAAAAAAAAAGGGTTAAAAAAAAAAATGAAAAGTTTTCATTTGGTTTTCAACCCTCAGAGCTGCTTTCTAAACTCAAATTTGGGTTTGCAGCTTTCGAGCCCTCAAGAGTCACTTCAGTGACCAACGCCACGTCCTGGGCCAGGCATCCCGTGGGATGCAGGGGTGGAGATGCCAGCCCCTGGAAGGCGCTGGTGCAGGGGGTAGGTGAGTGCTCCTTGTGTCCCCTGGCCCTGGCCCAGCCTGCCCACCAGATGTGAGATGCTGCCTTGGCACGGGCGGCAGCGGGAGCTCGTCGGGAGAGGCCGTGGGTGGAGAGGAGCTGGCAGGGATCCCAGGAGCCGCTGGGAAGAGGCTGCGCGGGGGAGAGCGAGCTCACCACCCACCTCGGATGAAATCATGGAACGGGCGAGCGCGAGGAAAGGCTGGTGAGGAGAAGGAGACCTAAAAAAAAAAAAGGGGGGGGGGACGGGAGAGGAAGGATGCTGGACCAGCGAGGAGGGTGGTTCCTGTGCTGGTGGGTTCCAGGAGGATCTGGTTCTCACAGGAGTCAGATACGGAGCCAGAATAAGAGCAGGAATTTGTCACAGGAAGATTTGCTCCAGCAGCATAGAAAAGAACTTTGATACCTGACCCCTTCGATGGAAATTCCTTAACATGTGTCTGAATGGAGGGGTTATTGTTCCCAGGCAGGCTGCTGCTTCCAGTCTTAACCTCTAACCAAGCTTGGACCAAGGAAGATGCATTCCTGGAGTGAGGAGAAGGAGATCTCCTCTGGGCCTGGCTGGTTTAAAAGTGTGTTTTTAAGGGTTGCTGAAAAAGGACCTTTACAGTGCCACTTTCCTTAAGCAAGAAGTGGGTTGCCTTGGTGTTCCCAGCTGGGTGGGCACATTGTCTCATCCTTACTGTGCAGACCAACAAGGAAAAAGTCCAGTGTGGCTTCCTGTTGCACTTTGAGACTGAACATTGCCCAGTGTGAACTCCTTGGATTTTTTCTCCCCAATATTTATCTGATTTATGATAAATTACACCACTCATGAGAGTAACTACTTCAATCCAATGAGAAGACCTTCAGTGTCTGTGTTTTCCACATGGATTTGTGTCCAAGCTGCCTCCTCACAGCTCATCCCACATAATTTCTGGAGAGCTCAGGCAGGCGAGGAGCCAGTGGAAGGAGCACGAGGTTTTGTCCTGTGCACCCACTGAATACAGCCTGCATCTTCTGCTGGGTTTTGTTGGATCCTTTTCATTCCTTGGAAGCACAGTTCAGGACAAAACCGTCACGGTCTGACTTTGAGGAATGGGATTCTCAGCACTTCTGTCTCTGCTCCAGCCAGCGAAATGCCCTCTGGCAGTGGGAAGCCATTTCCACTTGTTTTGTCGCTCCACGCTGTTGTCCCAGGTCCCTCTCCAGCTCTCTTGGAGCACCTTTAGGCACTGAAAGGGGCTCTCAGATTTTCCTGGAGCCTTTTTTTTTTCTCCCAGCTGTCCCAGCCTGGCTCTGGAGCAGAGGGCCTGCATCCCTATAAGCATCTTTGTGGCCTCCTCCTGATTCACTCCAACTCATCCCTGTTTTTTCCTGTGTTGTGAGCCCTAGGGCTGGAGGCAGCTCTGCAGGTGAGATCTCACCTGAATGGAGAAGAGGGGCAGAATCCTCTCCCTGACCTGCTGCCCACACTTGTGAAGCAGCCCAGGACTGGGGGTGTGTCTGGGCTGCCATCAGCCATTGCTGGGTCATGCTGAGCTTCTCATCCACTAGCATCCCCAGATCCTTCTCCCTAGAGCTGCTCCCCAGCCATTCTCTGTACCTGTTCTTGGAATTGCTCAAGCACAATATCCAGCTCCTTAGACCAGAGGGAGCAGCCTCGAGGCTCCGTTTGTTTGTGGAGGCTTTCCTCTGCAGGCAGAGTTATTTGTGAGATACATGGACATTCTCTTAATACAGCAGAGTCCTGTGCATAAAATGCATCAAAATAACACCAGAAGTGACAAGGCTGAGGAAGCATTTAAAAGTTGTGAGATGCCTGCCTTCAGGCTGCCCACAGAACCTCTGTGGGCGTGTGTGGTTCATCCTTAATTACACTTTTGGGAGGTATTTTTTATTCCAGAGGACACTGCCCCGCTCCCTGCACGCGATGCTGGTACTCACTTGCTGAAAAGCCACTCAGGGTTAGGGTGGATTTTTTCCTTCTTCATCTTCATCTCTGCAGCATCCGAGTACTTTGGCTGGAGCAGTTGCTCTGATGACATCTTTTTTTTTTTTTTTTTTTCCCTTGGTGAGGCTCTATTGTGGTTTCTGCTTTACAAACAAAGAACCAGAGCACAGAGAAACGAAGGTCAAAGAATCTATTAATTTCGGGTGCCCAGTCTGAAGTAGCCAGTGCAAGATATTCAGGACTGTGTGTCCAAAGCGCAGATTCCTCTCATGCCTTTCTTTGTTTTCTTCCAACCCCCTGCTTTGTTCGTTGCCCTCTTCCAACTTCTGCCTCTTGGGCGCTGTAATTACGATTTTTAAATTCAAATGCTGCTCTTAGCTTTCGAGTGTTTTCATCGCTGACTGAAAAGCTGTAGCTGAGCTCCTCTAGGCAGCAAATGTTCCCTTTCTCTCAAGGTAAACAACGAGTCAGGGAAGGTCACTGCAGGTAAAAAGCCACAGGTCTGGAAGAAGAGAGCAGGACATAATTCAAGCCAAAGTACTCAGGAGTGATGTGGAGCTCTCTTCACCTCTCCTGCCCTCTGCGGCTCCCATGAACCCTGTCACAGAGCAAGGGCAGCACAAAGAAGCTGGATCTGGGATAAAAAAAACCTGGGGGTTACCTCAGGTGCTCAGGGCTTGGGTCCATTGTTGCTTTAGCAGAGGCAGCTACGGAGGAATTGTGTTTGGGGAAGCAGAGCAGACCACGGCAGGAGTGGGAGGGCAGAGGGAAGCCAGCGGTACCCAGCGTGTTCTTGTTGTGTTGGGAATAGCTTGTACTTGTGGGACTTGGTCAAATGCCAGGAAAACCCTGAGGGTGAGGCTGCAGTGCTCCTCTTGAGATGTTCCAGCCCCTGGAGCCCTTGGGAACAGCAGTGCTGAACGCCGTGTGCTCTCAGCTGCCCCAGGCACAGCCGGATCCATCCGCACAAGGACACGTGTCCTGGGCTCCCTCCAAGCTGGAGCTCCCAGCACATCCACCTTTCAGTCCTGCTGCAGAGTCCTCTGGCCAGGCAGGTTTTGTCTGACCGTGTCCCATGTCTGAAAACACTCTCCAGCCTCAGCACCTCCTATTTGGCTTTGGCAGAGGGAAGCAGTGGGGCAGTGAGGGGAGGATTTGTGAGGCTGCATTAGCCGGTGGCTGGTGAGTCTGCAAAGGATCTGTCCCAAATGCAGGACAGGAGCTGGGGAGATGAGCACAGCACCAGTGAGCTGAGACCTCAGAAGGCCCCTGGAGTGTGGGTTTGAGTAGGAGAGAGTTGAGAAGGACTTAGGAGCAGGAGGAATGGTAATTCACCGTGGAACAATGCCTGGATGGCTCCGAAGGGGACCTGGCACCCATCTGTCCAGGCATTTCCTGCTGCTGCAGGGGATTCCTGTGCTCCTCCTTGCTGCTTCCTCCACCTCTGGATCTCTGCATCACTGTTGCTGTTGGAAACACCAGTATTTCATAAGCTGGAGAGCTCAGGGCTGCAGAGACAGCACAAAAGCAGCTCGAGGACACACAGAAACAGGAAAACCAATTTTTTTTAAATCAAACTTGCATAGTAATGTTGGGTCCAAGGAATATCTTAAGTCCAGCCTCCCACTCTGAGCAGGACTGTAGCCAGGGTGTCAGCCACAGTCTGGCCCTAAATCTCCTAAGTACAGGGGGTACAGTTTAGGTGATCTGTGTCCCAGGGCAGCTGTGTCTCCCAGCAAG